ATTTCCCCCTCAATTTCCTCCCCCCTCCTTCAAATTTATTTCCTCCCCCTCCCCTCCCTCTGACAGTGTCACGTATTCATCAGCTTATAGAAATGTGGTTAATGACATTTACTGTCCACACAGGAAAAGTTGTGCCGAGCAGCAACCTAATCCACAGAAGGTTTAATGCTGAGCAGTAATTGTGCAAATGAAACCTGGTCTCATGTATTCATCCGCTTAGAGAAAAGTGATTAATGACATTTACTGTCCACACAGGAAAAGTTGTGCCGAGCAGCAACCTAATCCACAGAAGGGTTAATGCTGAGTAGCAATTATGCAAATGAAACCTGGTAACTGACTTTGGGGTCAAAGGCCGGTTACAGCCTATCAGAAAGAAAGGAGGGGTATTTAGGCCCAGTTCTCAGCCTGCTCAGTGCCCTGTCGTGGTTTCCCTTGTGGTTGTCTGAGAGCTCGTTCCTGTTTATAGTTTTCTACCTGGTTTTTGACTTTGGCTTTGTTTATTGACTTCTCTATATTCTAAGGACCGGTAATACGTTACTTATTTGTCATCCGTGCTGTACAGTTCTACGTGCTGGATCAAACAGTAATCCTGACAGACAGACAGCCGGCCGGCGCGAGGGAGCACTCTCCTCTGAGTGCTTCCTCTTCAGCTCCCTCGCGCGCCGCGTACTAATGCCGGCGCCGGAAAATGACGTCATCTTCCGGCTCCGGCATCAGTACGGTGCACGAGGGAGCTGAAGAGGAAGCACTGAGTGATCCCTCGCGTGCCGGCCGGCTGTCAGGGACAGCCTCTGGGGGGCCCTGAGGTGACCGGCTGCTGGGCCCTCCAGGAGAAGAGGCTGGCCCAGTGGGTACATACCGGGGTCGCAGGGCCCCCTGCGACCCCGGTATGTACCCACTGAATGTGGAGCCCGGACGACCTTAGCAGTCCCCCAGGACCGCCGGGACTGCCGGGCCCATGACAACCGTTGCGGTTGTCATGCCCTGATGGCGGCCCTGACCACAGTTACAAACAGCCTCCAGAGAGCCTGTTCTACACCAGACCAGTGGAGCAAGACTGCAGCTAGAGCACATCATCATCCTCATCTCATTGTAAGTAGGCAATCTAGTATATTATTCGTGGCACTAATCTCTAATTTACCTCACATTAAAGAAACACTATAGTCCCCAGAACCACTGCAGCTTAATGTAGTTGTTCTGGTGTCTAGCCTGTCCCTGCATGCCTTATAATGTAAACACGGCGGCACTGCAGCACTGGTGTTAGTTAACATGGCAGATCATATGGGTGGGGCATTGTGATGTCACATGGGGGGGGCGGCAAACTTTACTTTTGCCTAGAGCGGCAAAAATCCTTGCCTCGGCCCTGGGTCAGAGGCGGAGGATACAGGGACTCAGACGCCGTTCTCACCGGCTGCAAGGAGGGAGAAGAGAAGGAATTCCTATCTCTATCCAAACCCATCCGGGTCTGGATCACAGGTTATGAACTTTTTTCCATCTGAGACACAATAGACTGTACTCCTACCTCAATATTTCAACGTTATTTTTTTATTTTAAAGTTTTTTATCGAAATAAATTCTACATGTTTTTTTCTATCAACTTGGTTTTCCAGTGAACATTCTTTCAAGGTGACTGTTTATTTAGGCACTTAGTTTATCTATACTAAACTGCCATTTGTTCAAATCTTTGACTTTGTATCTTTCTTAAATATTTTAAATATTTTAAGTATATTATATTCATAGGTGCTTTGTTTACCCGTCACTGTCAGTACAGGCCGAGTCATAGCTACTTGTGATATAATTTTGTGTATAAGACTGTATGTTTAAAGCCATATATATTTAATTTCCTCTATACCAGTTTTAGATATTTTTTATTTTTTTTAAGCTCCTGGATACCTGCACCTTAGGGTGGTTTTAATTATGCTGCACTATTTCTTTAATTCCCTCAGCAGCAAAGAAATAACAAATGCAAATCAATATAAAAAACAGGTATAAATATCACAATGACAACATCCACCTAGTAACATAAACATCCAATCAGAGACATCCTTATCCTATAGTGGGCGGAACATAGGTGACCACTTCCTCTTTCTTTGCTGCTCCGTCAATAAAGTACAACCTATCTCACGTTTTTACTAACTGTGGGATCTTTATTTCATTGTGATTATTGTGATTTGTCATATTATTACCTTAGTAACTAATGCATTGATTGCTGGTTCTTTTTTAGTGCTATTTTATATGTTTGTTTATTGTGCTTTACAGTAATTTTATTATGTAGACTGGTTTCCCCCCTCTTTTCCCTATTGGGGTTTTTCTTTCCCCTCCTTATTGTCGCTCTGGGACTTTGGCAGATTTGGCAGATACTTTTCACCTACCTCCGCTGCACTACCGCGCTCTCCACTTGGTTCCCCCCTTGTTCGCGACCTGCTTGCTCTCTGCTCCATTTCTCAAAGCGATCTGTTCAGCCGCGAACACATTTAGCAACTTATTCTCATTATTCCAGTGGCTTCGGAAGTCCTCACTGCTTTACTTGTTCGCGCAGACACCGCGTCTGGACCCGAATGCACGCCTCAACACTGTTAAACCCAGCTGCGGTGGCCATCTTTTTGGTTCCTAACTCCATCGCGGCGACCATTTTTTTACGCGGTTTTTTCTCTGGACCGTCCCCTTCTTCCCTTATTGGAGTTGGTGTCCAGTATTAGTTAGTGGTCGGACGGCTCTCTGTTTGTTCCAGCTCTCCTCTTTACTATTAGTGCATTTGTGAGTAATTCTTTCTACCCGTTCTCTGTGGGTATTTTATTTTATAATAATAATAATAATAATAATTATTAATTTTATTATTAATAATTTTGTATCCTACCCAATATCACTATGCAATCTTCTAGAGATGTGCCTACACCCTCTGTGTCTCAAATTGAAGCCAAATTTCCCTTTGGGACTCATCACTGTGGGATGAAGCCAGATTCCCAGCTTCTGAGGAAATTCAGGCGATCATGTCTAAGTCCATGTCCAAGGACCTGACATCTGCCATGGACATTATGTCATAATTTATATCAAAGTCATTTACGCAGGCCTTGTTATAGGCACAACTGTCGATCCCTTTGGCCTCTCTGCTGGCCGTGATACTGACTACCTCTCAACCCCCACGCCCTGGCTGCAAGGCCTAGGTTAATACCTGTCATTGATGGCGCGATTATGGAACCACCGCGCAAGAGAGCCACTAGCCGGGCAAAAGTGGCTAGACATTGGAGATGGGCTAAAACCCAGATTGATTCCTCTGAGTCGGATATCAGTGAAGATGAGGAGAGTGCTCTAGACTCGGAGTCGGACCATTCTGATAAGTTATCTGACCTTGAGTTGGATTATAAATTTGAGGAGGATAATACCACCCCTCATAGCATAAATGCCACTGATAACTCTGGCACAGAGTTATCTCAGCCAGCAATATCCAGCAATATCCAAGAAGGGTAAAATACTTGACCCGCAGGGTGAACCCGATGATTTACGCCACCCCCGCTCAGGCGATTGGTCGCCAGCCGAACATGTGGCACGCTATATTGCTGCCCAGGTCCGCAAGGCTCTTGATAAGGCGACTCGTAATACATTTCGGATGGAATGCCCACATCCTACTGTACCGGACGATGTATGCAAGACGCCTCAGTTCAACCCCAAGATTGTCCAATACTTTGGAAGACTGGGTGGAGACCAATGAAGGGTTTGGACTTTTCCCTGCACAACTGCCAGGACAAAGGTTTAGATATTTTGGGTCCAGCGACCAAGACCTTCGAGGCTGTAGAAGAATCTTTGGCTCAGGATGATGTATTAGATCGTCTCACCGTTAGGAGTTGGATACAAAGGTTGATCTGCTTGATTGGCAATGTAAACACTGCGCTTGCCACTGAGCGTCGTAAATCAATCCTCTTAAAAATGTAACCAAAACTAGTTAATCTGGCAGTTACAGAGACTCAGGTAAAAGGCTTCCTGTTTGACATTCACTGCCTTAGACAAGGCACAGACAAATATGAGGAGGGTGTTCCACCCTAAGGGGGGTGGCAGAACAAGGGGCCGTCTGTCCGGCAGAGTTGGAAGAGGTTCACAATGTCCGAACCGAGGTTCCTACGTGGGGAGACACCCCTTTCAAGAACAGAGGTCAACACCAACCTTTTTCTCTCAACGGTGCAGACCCTTGATGTCAAGAAGCACGCGAGGCGCTCCTTCATGTCGATGTCCTTACGGTAAGCTACTACAATCACCTTTCTTCCCTATTGGTAGTGGGGGGGCAGACTAACCCATTTTTCCAATGTCTAGGCCCTAATTACTTCAGATGCATGGGTACTCAGGGCTTTCAATGTTTATCTGATTTTGTGTCTCTTCCTATCCAATGTTGTCTCCCCAGGGAGATTGTTTTTTCCCATTCGATATGACCCTCGTTTCCGAATAGATACTAGAATTGGCACACAAAAGGTGCCATCCACGATGTCCCAATGCAGACCCCGAGTTTCGTGAGCAATTTGTTTCTAATTCCCAAGAAAGGGGGCAGGGTCACCCTGTGATCAATTTGAAACAGCTAAACGATTATGTGACATACCATCATTTCAAGATGGAGATGAGATTTACTCCAACCATCAGATTGGAAGGTCAAGCTAGACCTATGAGATGCATACCTCACAGTACCCATCGCAGACGTTCATCAAGATTTTCTGCAATTCACGTGGCAGGGAAGGAAATGGTGGTTCTGCTGCTTTGCCTATCTTCCGCTCCTTGGTGCTTCACCAAGCTCATGAAGCTGGTTATCGCTCTCCTCTGAAGTCATGGGATCCGTCTCATCATTTATCTAGACGATATCTTTCTGCTATCCCAGTCGGTTGCCCTACTCCATACTCATCTTGGTTGGACCACAACCTTGCTACAAAACCTGGGCTTCATTATAAATTGGGAAAAGTCCATTCTCAGTCCCACGCAACAGATAGAGTTTCTGGGTCTTCTTGTAGACTCCTCTCTGCAGACCCTACACCTGCCTACGTCAAAAGTGAACAACATCAAAAATGAAATTCAACACATTCTTGCCACTTCACAATATTCTCTCTGTGACGAGACCAATCTCGCCACATTGCATTGGAGAAGCCTGGTTGCTCGCCTGCTGCCTCTGGACTATGGCCCCCTGTTAAAAGACATATTTTTTACCTGCAGAAAAGCTTCATTCATGCTTTTCTGCCTGAGGTTCGGTAGATTTGTTTGAATGTGTTATACCCCAGATAGGAATCCCATGGAGCCCATTCATATGAAACTGACTGTAAAGACTTTGGCTTCATGGCGATTAAACTGTATTCGTGTGGTCTGAGCGCCATTCGCTTAATAATGTGCGCTCAGACCTGAGCTATCTGGGGATATGTTAAATGTATAGTTTTAATGTAATATGTCTTACCTGGTGTATTTTAACAGTAATGCTTGTTTTGTGTCCCCATGTGCATAATGGAGTCTTGCCTCTGACATGTCTGTGTTTTATGTATAAAATGGGACTTTGTGTATTGTACAGTATTTTAATGCTTTGTGCTAACCATGTGCATAATGGAGTCTTGTCTCTGTCCTGGGAGATAATTTAATTACTTCTCAATTATCTCCTGGGCAGAGGAGAGGAAGCCAGGATGCATTGTGGTAAAAAGTATGTGTAATTGAGTTACCTCTCAGGATAAGGGGGAGGGAATCAGTGGGTTGTAACTAATATGTTACTGGATATTTTATACCTCCCTGTGGGCGGTCCTGTATTTGCAAGACTGTAATAAAAACCAGGCTGGGTGTGCCAGCACCTCAGACCACTGCTTGACCCTCAACACAGAGCCTTGTCTCGTTCTTGGGGGGATTCACTGTATGCTGTTAGAGACTGATTGCCAGGAGTGTAAGATGCTTTTCCTGTTCGTCTGCTAGCAGCTATTTGGGAGGTTCCAGTTCGGGAGTTGGAGTGCTATTTTGTGTCCAGTTTGGGAGTTTGGTGTTCTGCAGTAGCTGTGCCTGTATCTCTGGAAAGGGGGCCGATCGCCTAAACGGTTTTTACCCCTTGTGTGCAAAACGGTCCGTTACACTCTCAAACATCTGGCTTGTGTGATTGGGCTCCTTGTTGCCTCCAATCAAGCCATATTCCCGGGACCCCTTCATTACAGAGCCCTACAATGCCTACAAGCATCCTACCTCATCACCATCCTATGAGGATATTGTGACAATGGATGCAGAGGGGAAGGAGGAACTCCACTGGTTGCTCTTTCACATGGAGGCACAATGGCAGTGCAATTTTCGGTTCAAATCCAGACGTGGTCATAGAATCCGATGCGTGTTTGTATGGCTGGGGTGCACGCTGCAGAGTTATCTCCACAGGCGGAAGATGGTCGGAACTGGAATCAATGTTACATATAAATTGCCTCAAACTCCTAGCAGGATCCTTTGTGATCCGCAGTCTTTCTCCAACTCTATCCCAGTGTTCTATCCTACTGAAGATGGACAACATCTCAGCTGTCCGTTATATCAATCATATCGGAGGCACAAAATTCAAAGTCCTGGCGAATTTGGCCCAAGATTTCTGGCAATTTTGTCTTCAACACAATATTGCACTCAGGGCGGAATACATCCCAGGTCTAGCCAACATTACGGCGGATCAGTATTCCACCCATCTTCGAGATTCCAGCGATTGGCACCTCAATCCCCAAATCTTTCAGTGCATTTGGGAACTTTGGGGTCCCTTGGACGTAGACTTGTTTGCGTCTTGCTTGAATACACAGCTTCCAAACTATTTCAGTTGGAGTTTGGATCCAGCGGCATTGGCTATGGATGCATTTTCCCAGGACTGGTCCAGCACCAGGAATTATGCATCCATTTGCCCTCCATTTGCCCTCATCGCTAGCATCCTCCTCCATCTTCGGCGTCAATTGGACTTGCTAGTGATAGTGACCCCAGTGTGGCCATCACAACCTTAATTCCCACCTCTCCTGGAGAATTTCCAATCTCTCCTACGTGTCCTGGACGGGATCCTCAACCCCTTAATTTTTCAGGGCCTCCTCCACCTCATGGCGTGGCTAATTTCTGGGGACCCTGGTCGATCGAGGGAGTTTCGCAGTGGACTCTCAGACTTCAAGGGCGCATGGGCACACATGGAATGATTGGTGTGTGGAACGGGGTGTGGATCCCCTATAAACTCCAGTGACAACTGTCCTCCAATTTTTGACTTCCCTTTATAATATCGTCAACATCTACTGTTCAGCTATTTCGGCTGGTCATGCCAGTATTGATGGTGCCCCGATTCGTTTCTCAAGGCCACCTCTTTCTCGCTATTCCTCCTTATGGGACATTTCTCTGGTGCTAAATTTTCTTAACGATTGGCTGGATAATGAGTCTTTATCCATGAAACAAATCTCAGCTAAACTAGTTCTGCTGTTTTGTTTAATTTCATGCAAGAGAGTATCAGATGTTAGGGCACTTGATGTCGATGCTCGCTCTTTCTCCCCATAAGGGGTTGTTTTTGACATTTCTCAGGGAACAAATACATCTTCCTGGCCGGTCTTGTACCCGGCTATTCACTTGAAACCACAACTCTGTCCGGTGGCATGTCTATGTGCTTATGAAGCACGTACCACCCCCCTTCAGACAGGATCAGACCCTCAACTTTTCGTTTCCTTTTGTAAACCGCATGCTCCAGTATCCTCTCCTACCTTGGCTCGTTGGGTCAAATGGCTCATGTCCTTGGCAGGTGTTGATATTTCCCCTCATTCCATTCGTGGTGCTATGGCTTCTAAGCAGGGCCGTCTATAATATGAATAGGACCCTAGGCAAAGCATTTTCTTGGGCCCCCTGGGCCCTGCTTGTCCCACCCCCCCCAATTACACCCAATCATACTTTTCACCCCAATGCAGTGGGGGAACTAAAGTAGAGAGATTCAAAACATACTTACACAGCCATATACACTGACAGACATACTGACATATATACACACAGACAGACATATTGACACATTCACAGATACATACTGACACACAAATATATACTGGCAGACATATTGACACACACACATACATACATACTGACACACACAGACACATACACTGACATATATACTGACACACACACAGACATATACTAACAGAAATACTGAAACACAGACACATACACTGACAGATGTATTGACACACACACACACACTGACATACACACAGACATACAGACACAGACCTACTGACATACACACACACAGACATACTGACATACATACACACACACACAGACATACTGACATACATACACACACAAACACATGCTACATTTAGCTACCCTCCAAGTTCTTACCTTTTTCTGGAGGGTGGTTTCCCTGGGGTACAGTGGCAGGTTCAGGTAGTTGGGAGTTATCTTCTGCAACTCCCCTCCTCCCTGCCTTCCTCCTACCGCGTGGCTCTTATCTCCGGTGGGAGGAAGTGATGCGGGGCAC